TTTGTAAATTATATTCAGAAGGGAAGTTAAAGATACTTATCTTAAAAATATCCCAAATATGTATAGTGTGTTAATTGAGTAATTGCTGGGTAAGGGTAACGTAGACCTTCTTTTTTAAAAGTTACTCAGTTTCTATGACAGTAAATACATAGCTATATAGATGATTTCAGCAACACTTTGAATGGAAGTATGTTTATAAAATTAGAAATATTGGTGTATTGTCTCTATCTTTCTCATAGCTTATCTTGCCTATTGATTTAGCTTCATAAAAAGTAAGTGGCCACAGGGACTAATAATCGGTCACAAAGGGGCAGTTACTGTTTCAGTCTCCACCTCCTGCCTAAGCAGAACATTTCAGCCAAACCCTCGTTTTCCTTTTTCTAGGCCCCACCCAAGTCTTCTGTTCAAAGCTCTACGTTTTAGTCCTGCTCTCAACAGAAACCTGAATTTCCAATCCTAAATCTCCTTATGGTCTCACTCTTCCTCCTCCACAGATACCTCTCTGAGACTACGTAATAGAGAGGGGCCAGGAAAATCACTTCACCTTGCATTTGTGCCTGCTCAGGAGACCCCCGTGAGCTAGCTGGGTTTCTTGGGAGCCTCCAGGGCATTAGTCTAGCATCAGATCTTTACAGTGTCGCCTTTGCTCTGCCACACCCCAATATACATCTATTATTTTAATTTTGCTCATCTTCCCAATGCTGGAGAAATAAGCCAAACCTCAGTAAAGTAACAATAAAGCCATAATTCCCTAGAGGCTTGGGAAAAAAAGACGTCATTTGTTGCCTCAGTATGGCTGCCAGTCAGCCCCTTTGATGTAAAGCATCTGTTCTCTTCAAGGAAACAAGAAAGGTCTGGTTCTTCTTTCTGGTCTGTGAAGTAGGAGGTGGTGTCATTTGTAGCATGGAGCCACAAGCCCCATGTTACTGGGTTGCAAGCTGCTGCCTGCCTTTGTTAACATGCTGAAAATTTCATCGGCTGTCTTTAATAAAAGAGGATGTGTGTGAGGGAAGACATCAGCCGTTGTAGTTGGGTTTCTGTTCTCCAGCCCGTGACTCATGGCTGGCAGGCGGCAGCGACACCCAGTGTGTAATCAGGCAGCCAGTCACCTGGACTGCTTGCATTTCAGCTGCATAGCTAGGCAATCTTTAAGTCTGTTTATTTGCTTATGGAAAAGCTTTTTAATTCCTTCTTCTCTAACAATGTTTAGTCATTTACGACTGTTAAGTAAAGCTTCATTTGAACACTACCTTAAGTAGTTATATAGCCAACAGAAGAATTATATTTTATGGGAGGATAGACATTCGATCTGACATACTTTGTTCTATAGGAACCTCATTCTCTTATTTTTTTTTTAAAGCCTTCATTTCAGAAGCCATAAAATAATATAATCTAGATCTGGAAATGGCCTCTAGAAAAGTGCTGCTCAAATTTTAACGAGCAGACGAAGCACCTGGGCATCTTGTTAAAATTAAGATTCTGATTCATAGAACTAAACCAGAGCACTTAAAGCCCCTGAAATTCTTCCTTTCTGTCAAGCACCGAGGGGAGGGACGCTGGTGCCACTCCCTGAGCGATATTTTTGTAACAAGCCTACGACCTGAAGGCGCTCCGTCCAGGATCCTCTACCAAGCTACCCAGGCGATTGCGGTGGCGGGGAGATCCGATGGGCTTAAAAGACAAAGTCCTCATCTTTGAAGACAGAAAATAACCATAGAAGGAGAAAGTAGTCTGTAACGAGTTTTCTTCATAAATCTTTAACACATAAAATTGTTTATGTCAAGGTAACTGTTGACACTTTCAAAGCAATTACCTAAGACAAGGGATATGTATCTCATATTTGAATGCACCAGTATGTAAATTTCATCAGTTTCCTTTGATGCAAATAAGGATCTGTAGTGACGTTTTAATAAGCATTACATATGTTCACGGATTTTTAAAACAAAGAACTTTATAAAGTTTTATTAAAATACGTACATTCAAACCAAAGTGTTTCCTCTGGAAACAGGAATCTATTTAAAATTAAAAATCTGCTTAAAATATTGAATGATGTTCTTAAATATGCACATTTTTAGTTTACTTGGATTTTTATTCTTTACTGAACGAATTAATGAGTATTGGTTGAGCTTCCATGAGATCTGTTATCCCATACTAACTGTATAATGTCAGTTTTTTATTATTTTTAATAGGCAGCATACTAGTATGGATAATGCACAATTAAAGTTATTCTTAAACACCATTATAGTTAACATTCAGACTCATTTTGATAACAGATAGAACTTCCTAATTGTATTTTCGTAAATTATTCATCATCTGATCGTGGGGAAGTGACTTAAAATATTCTGAGGACAGAAGAACCCAGGCTGCAGTTTAGTAATAGTAGTAAAGCCTTGGTGTACTTAACCACCTGTTTTCACAACCTTCTCTTCCAGGTTTTAACCTAAGAAAGGCTACAAAGCTAGGAAAGGAAGAGCCAGTTTAAAACTCCTCAGCATTTGAATTCGGTAGTCGTTCAGGTACACTGACAAGGAGATTCTGCTTTGTATTTTTGAGATGATAAGGAGACAGAAAAGAAGAGGAAAAACATAATATGTAGTCTCATATAATTTCAACAACAACTCTAAGAAGCAAGCACTGTTTTCATCCCTTTTCTTGAAGAAAGTGAGGTCTCACCTGCTCACTCAACTTGCCCAAGGGCACACATTTCTGGGTTGGAGCTGCCACTGGAACCCAGGCAGCGTGACTTAGTAAACTCTGAATGTTTTTAAAAATCCCCTTGAGTTGCAATTATAGTCAGGTACAGACACTTTGATAATAAAGTGATTCAAGAAATAACAGCTATCCCACAGAGCCATCTGGTTTCTCTCAGCCTGGTCTCTGGGCCTCTTGAATTCTGTTAAGTAAGGGACGGTCTCCAGCCATGGTTCTCCCTCCCCATTTCCTCTCTTCCTACTCAGCATAGCAGGAAGTTTGAGCATTTAATCTATTGAGCATCTCTGATAATTCAGACCGTGAACACATGCCACCATCAGGTTAGTAGGTATTTATTGACAGTGATGCTAAGTTCTGTGAGGGGACATAATTCAGAAATGTGTTCAGGCATCAAACTCCAGATAATAACGGTGGTATGATACGACATTTCTCTTAGGAAGACAGAGTAGGTGGTGCTGTTTTAGGTTTCCAGTGTGGAGCAATTCTCTGCACATGTAATTTGGAGCTATGTTTATTTGGATTGGTGTTTAAAATTAGATAGTGACCATCTGTGTTTTTCTTGATAAATGTGGAGTCATCTTGACTAAAGGTTTTTGAAGGTCAGGAATAGCTTATATTTGCAACATTATTTTTGGAAAGGCTGTTGAAAAGTTGAAGAATAATGCCTAGTAGTTGACAACTTAGGAGAATTTTGGTATGCATCCAGAAACATACTATGTAGCCATTGAAATAAAAATTGTAAAGTATGTATAGCAACATAGATATCACAAACATGCATTTGCTAGACCTCCAACAGTGAGATGAGGAAAAGTATACTTCATATGGTATCTACTGTGTGCATGTACTGTGCTACATTTATTTTCTCTCTCTAACAAGTTGATGTTATTTCAATATTTCATAAGTGAAAGAATTGAGGCACAGTATATTACGGGACTTCACCAAGGTTATAGCGGTGGTTGAGAAAGAATTCAAATCCACATCTCTTAAAATCTAAATCTGATCCTCTTTCCCAGCTGGTTTATTCTGAGCTACTCAGCCCTCTTCCCAGCATTGTTTTGGTTCAGAAATAATTGTTTTTATAGTAAAGAATGGAGTCACATGAATTCAGTTGAAAAATGCATGCATTGTGAGAATACTAAATCATAAAAATAATTATGAATTATTTTAAGTGATATCAGATTTGCCAGGACAATTAAGAGTTGACATCATCTGAAAAATGAAAACATAATCTTACCATAAACACTTTTAGTTTTATCTTATATTTGAAATATGCATTTATGTAACTGCCAAAATACTAGCTACTCTCTATTAGCCAGAAAGTTCCAGAGAAAAGACAAGAGCAGTGCAGCCCTTATTCATAGATAGCAAGCCAAATGTTTTCTCCTTTGGGAAGGAGCTTTGTTGTTAACTAGTGTCTGAGAATTTTGGGATGGAACCCCTGTATTAAACTAGTGCTACACAACTCGTACCTTTTTTTAAATGTTGCCTTTCACATGATAAATTTATACTGCAATTATCACGCCTTACAGAAAAATCTGTTTGCAAATTATTTTTAAATAACATAAAACTTTTCTTACAAAGGTATGATATTTTCTGTGTCATATTTTGTCTATTTTCATGTGTTTTTACTTTGCTGTATTAATAGTAAACATTCACCATTAGAAGTTTTAAGAACTGTTTGACTTAAAAATGAGGACTTTGTCTCATTAAACTGCGTGGGTTAGATTTGGAAAGGACTTCAGTGGTTGCATTTGAATTTTTTTTTTCAGGGCGTTTACCCTGAAAACATCAGTAAAATTTTACACTATATTTTATTTACTTATAGTTTTGTAAGTGGCATGGAATATTGCTAAGGAGAGGAAAGAAAAAGTGGGTGGACGTAGATTTGTCAACTTTTCCCACTTAAATTTTATTTCTTGGTGTTGAGTTTAAAAAAAGTGTAATTTTGTCCATCTGAAATTGTATAACTTTTAACTTTTTTTCTCAGAAAAGTACAACTTGACTAGGTTACTAGGTTTTCATATGTTACCCATGCTTTCTCATTAAAGAAGAAAACATTTTCCCTAGCTGCCTGCCCTTTTTAAGGTATAAAGTACACAGCGGCTGTAAGGAAACTTTTTTTTTCCTCCTAGTTATCTTCGTCTGTTTGTATAAATTGCTAAATTGCTTCCATAAAATGCCTCCAGACATAAGGGAATCATTTGCATAAGTGGATGAAGATTTTTGTCTTCCTTGAGGGAAAGCTTTGAAAGCTCCTCTTAATCATTTTTCCCTCTCTCTGGTCCTAGTATCCGGCTGCGCTGATGAACCTGGGAGCCATTCTGCACCTCAACGGCCGACTGCAGGAGGCTGAGGCCAACTACCTGCGGGCGCTGCAGCTCAAGCCCGATGATGTCATCACGCAGTCCAATCTCCGCAAACTCTGGAACATCATGGAAAAACAAGGCTTAAAGACTTCCAAGACCTGACGTACGAGGGCGGTATACGAGGGCGGTACCTCGTCCTCCTCCCTGTTTTAAGCGGGCTTCACTAACGAACAGGACTTCCCAGAACAGGACTTCCCAGCACTGGACGAGCTAGTTTGGACTTCAAGACCAGGGCAGAGGTCACTGAGGGCACTGCCACTCCTGGGCGTGTCCACTTTGCTGTTGGCACGGCCATTAACACCAAAAATAGGAGGAACATTGGAAACCTCCTGAAGGATGTAATTGTTACTCGTAGAACTAAACCAGAGCACTTAAAGCAGGATATTTTGGCATTCTTAAAGAGGGGTTGGGGTCTAACTTTCAAATTCTGTTCATTTTTGAAAGCTAATTTTATGGTTTCTTAAACACTGTGAGAGGAAGTCAGAGTGTCCCATTCAGCCACCATAAACTGGTAAGGTCAGGTGTTCCTAGAGCGCGGTCAATGTGTAGCGTGAATCCTAGGGGGCTTGCTGGTTGTGCTGACGCTGCTGCCTTCCCACTTTGGGACAGCCTGCTTATCGATTTCTGCAACTTAGAAAGCTTTTTTTTTTTTAATACTATGTCAGGACCTATGAGAATCTGAAGTTGTTTCCTGACGAGTGCACATAGCATTTTATGATTTGGATGTCAGTCTTCACTTTTTGGGGCATCATTTGCTTTTCATGGTCTGAAAAGGATATGCAGAGTAGAGCAACCCAGATTTCACGCTGGTGTTATACGAGGAACTGGGGAGGCCTCATACGTGTCAGGCAGGCTTTTTACTTTTTATTTTAATGTTACCAATATTTTCCCCAAAACTGCCTAAGAGAATCCAGTGTGTTAATTCGTAGGCGTTTGACATTGCCTTTTTAAAATGGCCATACCTGGTCAATGTGCATGCTTATATAAGGATTCTATCAAAAGGAAGCTTAAAAGTCTCTAGTTCCAATAACTCTCCAGCAGCCATGAGACAAAAAGGGAAAGTGCTTTGTGCTTTCCAGATGTTACTGGTTAAAAAATCAAGTCTGCTCAAAGGAGTGTATAATGATGGTTGCCAATGACTTTATGTTTTGGAAAAAGTTAGTATGAATTGCTAATCACTTTCTAATAGGCACCAAAACAGTAATGCTGATAAGTTTTTAAGAAATTTTTTTATCATATTTTTCATACTTTGCTCTTCCCAAAAGACATAAAAATGACTTCTGATTTTAAGCCGCAGTAGAGTGTAGCATTAGCCTGCGTGTGTCTAGGTCTTCTGCCAAGTGCTTTTTACAGTGGAAAACCATTTTTCACTAGCAAATTTGGTATTTTATTTCATTACCTATTAGTAACCACTTCAACAGTCATTTCATGAGTAAAAGAGTATAAATGAACTAGAGACCATTTGTTGAACATTTTTTAACTTGCAGTCAAACTTTGCTACTAAAAATTAACTTTGTAAAAACAACAGTCCACTATCAGCTTCTTCATAGAGAAAGCAGAAATACAATACTCTATATATTTATTTATTTATTATTCTACCATAGCAAAATAACAAAACAAAACTTGATTCATCAAGCCAATTCCTTGCAGCCGAAAATTATCTTTCTCTTCTTTCCAGTTAATGTTCCATGTATGTATAGGCAGCGTCCCTATTGAAGGGAAGCCAGACATACAAATACATCATACTATGTTTCCTCCGTATTTTATGTTTTTCTGCATATCTGAATACAGTGGGATACAGAATTTAAAGTGCTGTTCCTATGACATTAGTGCTTTTGTAAGAAGGGCAAATGTAGTGAGAGAGATTTGTTGATATCATTAATAAGAAGGCCCTCCTTGTGTGTTTGGTATTTTGTAAGCATTTCATCGAGGGGCCAAAAGTTAAATTATAACTAAATCACTGTGTTCTCACATTTTGCAACAACAAACCCGTGGTCAAACCAAAAGTATGGGTTGAAGTGTATTGTTCCTCTTCTCCTGCATTGGCAATTGCAAAAAATAAATAAATAAATAAATAAATAAGGAATTTAATATAAGGATATAGAGATGAATTCAATGTCTAACATTTTTATTTATTTAAATAGCTATTGACCTATGATGACTTCCTAGTCTTAACACTTTATGTTGTTTTGTTTTGTTTTTTTATTGTTACTGTTCTTCCTTTCAAAACACTTGGTTCTTAATAGGTTCGCTGATCGCACAGTAGAGGCACTTCATGTTGACACAGTTCCCAAGTAGCATTAATAACTGGGACTGTGTCATGAAATGCATGGATCTTTCATAACGAAAAGTCCCTGACACCTTTCATCACAGGGCTGGGTTTAGACCAACTTGGGGGAGGGCTCGGGGGGCTATAGAACATGGTCAAAAAATGTCTCCGCTCAGGGATTTATGGTGGATTATTGCAGACAGTGCTAAAAATATAGAGCACAAGACAAGTTTACTAAATTAAAATTTTATTTTTTTGAGAAACTGTTATTTGTATAAATTATCAAGATTTGTAGGCTTTCCTTTTGTAGAAATAATTGTTTATGTGCCAGAGAATTTCAATTTTGTTTTCAACAATAAAGCATTGATAACAAATACGTTGTATAAGCCTTTTTTAAATCTTCTACAGCAACAATACTTATACTCTCTTGGATTTTAACAGAACTAGGAGATAATTTTCAGGAGGTAGAGATTTAGAGTCAACTCAAAACAGAATATGGCTAATGTATAATAAATGATAATTACCAATTTTTAGAGTTGCTGATATCAAATTTGCCATGTTCAGAAAGGATGACATGGGTTTTGCTTTGTTTTGCTTTGTAGGTGAACTATCATAAAAAAGTATTAGAAAGTATCCCAAGCAGGACCAATTCCCTGTTTCATAGGTTGCTTGGTAAGAAAAACCTTATTCAGAAGACCTGATTCTCTAGTTCTAGTTCTGGAGGAAAAAGCACCATCCTATTCTGCTGAGAGATATGTGTGAGACACATTCAGGGATGGGTTATAAAGAAACCTTGGGTCCTAAACAACGTTGCGAACTGACAGAATTCAATAGCCTTGTTTAAATTGTTACGTAATGGCATGATTATGTATTGCCTAATTATTTTGTTACAGGATAAAATTTAGCTCTAAAGATTTCATTTTCTGCTAAACATCCTGTGCATGTGTCAGGTTATGTTCCAGCTTTACAGTTAAGGAAACCAAGGCTTAGAGGTATGAAGTCACTTCTTCCGGTCACAAAGCTAGCAAGCAGCGAGCGTGTCCTCATGTTGTCCTGTGCTTTACTGTCCTGTCACAGGAGCAGTCAGGCCTTAAACCAAGTCTGAAGATGAGGATTTGCATCCTCCTTGGCACTTCTCTAGCTATTCTGTCTTCAAAATCACATTCTCTCCATCTCTCACGGCAGGTGGTCATGAAGATTGGTGAGGTTGCAAAAGCAACGGCCCCCCCAGCCCCCAAACTCATATGTTAAAAACCTAATGCCTATAGGTGATGGGGAAGTAGGGGAGTGATTAGGTCATGAGGGTGAAGCCCTCATGAATGGGATCAGTGTCCTTACAAAAGAGGCCCCAGAGAACTCTTAGCTTTTCCTGCAGGTGAGGATCCAACACAAAGTCTGCAGCCCAAAAGCGCGCCCTCCCCAGACTGTGCTGGTAGCCTGACCTCAGACCTCCAGCCTCCAAACTGTAAGAAATAAATGTCTGTTGTCTCTAAGTCACCCAGTCTGTGATATGTTGTTACAGCAGCCCAAACAAACCGAGACGGAGGTAATATAGGAAAAACACATTTAAAGATGTAGAGTGTAAAAGCTGAAAAAAGACTTCAGGGGACATGTAGCTAACCCCACTTACTTTTCACTGCCGGGACATAGGGCCTCTAAGTTAAGTGATTTAACCAAGATCTCAAAACTGGTTAGTGGCAGTGATATAACAGGCTATAGAAATACCTGTTATTAAGAGTTCTTCCTATATGACGTAATTGCATAATTGATTCCATTTTTAAAAATGTAAATGTTATGTTTCACGTACAGCTTACATTCAGTAATATTTTGTTGTAGGTGTACAGCATAAGGGTTAGACAACGATATGCTTCACAAACTGTTTCCCTCAATGTATCCAATACCCACCGGCCACCACACATAGTTATTACAGTGTTATTTACTTATGTTTCCTGAGATGTACTTTACATCTGCGTGACTATTTTGTAACGACCAGGTTGTTAATTCCTTCATTTTTTCCCCAGCCCTCCTCCGCACCGGCAGCCGTCAGTGCATCCTCGGCAAATGTGAGTCTGTTTCTATCGTGTCGGTTCATTTATTCTGATCTTTAGATTCCACATATAAGTGAAATCCTGTGGCATTTGTCCTTTTCTGTCTTATTTCACTTCGCATAATATTCTCTGTCACAAATGGTAACATTTCATTCTCTTTTTATGACCAATTGATTCCATTTTAAAATCAAGGTGTAGTTTTAACTTGGATTAAAAACATGATACTGTGAACCTGTGAGGCAGAGGCCATGTCCTTTTTTTTTTTTTCCTGGCTTCTCTTCTGTGTGGCACGACATTGAGTAGATAAAACTTTCTTCTATTATTTGCACATGACCAATGCAATATATTTTAAATAATTTTCTACAAAGTTGAGATTTGGGGATTCAATGACTCCTTTTATTTGATATTTTCACCTCAGTGATGACAGTTTTCACATCGTATACATTTTCTGTACAAAGAAAGGAAGTGCATCTAAATCTCGGATATTCTCTTACAAGGAAACAAACTGTAGTTTAAGAATTATAACCCAATTCATTTGTATGTACCTCTTGCAGATGATTTTTCACTTAATTTAAATATTATTGGCAATACTATAGAATTTGCTTCCTACTATTTAAAACTCAATTCAGTTTAATGAAGGGGAATTACTAGACAACTTGGCTGTCTATACACTGTAAGCCACACACTGTAAGGAGAGAGCGAGGTGAAATGGCAATATAATTGTGCTAACTCTGTTATGCTTAGTTTTGCAGCACAGAAAGATGCATGTGTACCAGGACTTTAAGCTTCTTGCTCTCATTTTGGGTGGTCTTCCTGCAGGATACAATCAGAGGCCTTTGAATTGGCTTTCATTTCATCTGCCACTTCAC